CGAACGTTCATTCTCGACGATGGTTATGATCACACTGACTTCGCACTGGACTCACTTCGTTGTCCTTGGACTTCTGCATCATTAGAAATCAGACATTGCTATCTCTCAGGGGCAAATTTGGAAATTCCGGCCGGAGCTTTCAAAATTTCAGAAAAATTATGTTGCCATGACTTTTGAAGTAACCCACGTACAAAGTTCATGTGATCAAACACAGAAGCATAAAAGGTTGTGAAGGTACAGATCCATGTAGGTATTCATGTCTATAATATTTATATGTGCGTGAAGGGCTAATTTCATCTTATATGTGCTTTATTTCCAGAGAAATTGCCCACCGCTATTTTAATGAAAATTCATCAGCAAAAATAAAATAAATCTTGATTGTACCAGACAGCTTATGTAGTTAATTTCCTTGGTACCGGTAGTGATGCAGCTTTTAATAACATAGATTTTAATATCAGAGTTATTGCTGAGAAATTGTGGAGTGGGGGGGGGGGGAAAAAACCTTCAATTTACAGAAATGGCTCAATATTTCAATAAAGTAGGCCTTAACAATTCCAAAACAAAGTAACATTCTAGTATTCATAGTGTGTTAATTTTTATTGCTTTGAAAATTCTTAGAAGACATTTTCACTTCTCGACATGTAGGATAGGACTGCAGAAACAAACATGGCCATGCTAAAATATTTGTAAATGTTTTATAAATTCATACAGCAGAATATGTAATTAGTTCAAAGAGTAATGTGCCATGTGGTTTGGCAAAAGTTCACTGGCATTCAGATGAACCCCACTGAAACTTCTACAAAATTACATTGCATTAAACCCCAGAAGATGGTGGTGTTCATAACCACTACTATGAGAACCTCAAACCCAACAGAACTATGAAGAAAGCAGTCTTCTGAGCCAACAGAACTAGTTTGTTCAATAAAAATCAAGATATCTGGGTATGTTGAAAAGTTCAATTTTATACAGGTTAGCAATTATATGGTTAATGTATTTATTACATACTAAACTTTTAAAATACAACACAGACTGGACATTTCTTGATCAAGTGGACTATAACATTCTGCTCACTCTATTTAGGCCTCAGAAATCTGAAATGAATGCCTGTAATGAAGGAGAGAAAAGGATACCAAAATTACCACCAGGCATTAACTGTCTCAGTAGTGGAAGTTGGAGGGCACGTTGATGTGCTGGATCAAACTCTAAAACAAAACTGTATGGATTAGTCCACATTTCTACACCTTACTTACCCATCACCATACAGTCTTCAAACATGCTGAATCTACCTAGACGTGACTTGCTAAAGTGAGGTGGCAGACAGATCTTCACATACCTGCTTTCTGTTTAATTCTTTACACATGCTAAGCACCCACAAGTTTCAGTACTGTTTCTGTATTAAATTAGGTTTCCTTGTTGAGGGACGTTTTAGTCTCTTGGACACCCAGAGGAACAGTCTGCAAAACTGAACTTTGTGCATAACTTAGTGTTATAATATGTACAATGCCTTGTAAAGGTCAGAGTTGAAGGCACTGACGCAGTGTCCTCGGAAAAACAGTTATGACATACTGCTGTGGCAGACAAAAGGATTTATCAAATCAAAATATTTGTAGGATGCAAGGATTTTAATGATTCTGTATTTCAGCATCCCATTGCAATTGTTCAACTTAACATCCATTATTTATCGTCCGTCAATATTGCAACACTCTTCCATTCACCACTAAATTTTTAGTTTACCATTATACACCTTGACACTACATGTTTTGGCCCCAAATGGCCATCTTCAGGTGTGCTGATATGTTACAATTATTTTATTAAATTGTGTTAAAACTGCTACACTCTCTTAGTTTGTGTTAAAATCACATGCTGTAGTCCTCTTTTCAGGTAAAACCAGATAAAATCCTATAAAGTTTCTATTATACCCACGTTATTTTAGTGCATATTATTTCACCTCACATGGGGTGTCATCCATTTTCATAAATGTATGTCTGTCCAGGGTGTTTTGTCTCGGCAGCTTGCCCCTCACGTTCGTAGCCTACTTTTCAGTAAAGACGACCCCACACGCTGTGGAGGAAACACGCAAACCAGGGGCATATGGCAGTCATAACTGAGAAGTAGGCTACGAACTTGAGGGGCAAGCTGCCGAAACAAAACACCCTGGACAGACATACATTTATGAAAATGGACGACACCTCGTGTGAGGTGAAATCATATGCACCAAAATAACGTGGGTATAACAGAAACTTTAAAGGATTTTATCTGGTTTTATCTGAAAAGAGGACTATAGCATGTGATTTTAACGCGAACTAAGACAGTGTAGCAGTTTTAACACAATTTAATAAAATAATTGTAACATATCAAGACACCTGAAGATGGCTGTTTGGGGCCGAAACATGTTGTGTCAAGGTGTATAACGTTGAACTAAAAATTTAGTGGTGAATGGAAGAGTGGTGCAATATTGACAGACGATAAATACTGGACGTTAAGCAAGGATACTAAGTTCTCTTTTATTCATCTGGCAGTGACTGGGTATGGACAAAACAAGATATGCATGCCAGAAGTGGCCTTGAAAAGTATACTGCCTGTCTTAACGTTTCTGTAGTGAGGAAATAAACATCAGTCCTACAACCATTTTTAAGTCCATATTTACTGTGATAAAGCCTGATACTTTAACTGCTCGTGTGAGAGAGAGAATTTTAGATTTCCCTACTGCAATGTTCACTCTTCTATGGAGTACTGGACCTTACATTACTGTTTCTACAAACGGCATTTAAGTGAAACAAGAGTGTAACATCCCACAGATATATTCAGATGGCAATCTGTAAGGCTATGCACTATCTGTCAAGGTACTCTTGATAGCTGCCCTTCAACTACAGATTAATTCTGGGCCCCAAGGGTGAATACCAAACGTGGAACCAATCCCAATTGCACAAAACCCAGATTCATTTTGCAAAAGGATATCAAGAAGTAGCACTCTTTTATTTCTTTGTTAACAAGGAATCTGGTGGCAATTTTAACACATTTAAGAACAATATCATACTATAAGACTTCAGACTATATGCAATGACAAAAAGGGGCAGAATAGTTATATATATTCTGATAATAAGTAACTGAGGTACAGGCCTTTCAATAACTATCATTATACGAGAATTATGGTGTGTGAATGCACAACATAGATCATGCCACACATCAGTGGGTTATGTGCAGATTGCTCACTGTGAAGCCACGATTCAATTCCACGATAGTCAGTGTGGGTCTAGGGTGCGCAAATTGGCACTTAGGTATGTTTCTCTCTATGCACTTTGGTTTTCTCCTGCAAAATATCATTTTGTTAATGTTCCATCTTTACCATCCAGTATGATACAAAGGCCCATTTGAAGACCTAGTATCTCACCCCATTCGTCAAACAGAAAAAAGAATACTGGATGCGTTTGCACTCAAATAGCTCAAATCATCAGGACAGAAGGATCAGGAATGGATTTGTATTACCATCTCTTCTGTCCCTGCCATCTTACATTTCTGTTTTGGAATATATGATCCAGTATTTGTTCTTCAGTTCTTATTCGGCAAACTGGACACAGAGTCCTCTAGAGCCATTCCTCCTCCTAGACAATGAAGACACAGTCTTGCAGATGATGTATCTACACTACCAAGTTTAAATACAAACATTAATAAAGTGTTTGCTTTCAGAAATCCTTACGATTGAAGCATCCACTGGACATGGATCTCTAGAAAATTAAGTTTTATTGCACATTTTGCAAGAGTGTTGAGGAAATTACTGATCTTGTGACATGTTAAAAGCAGGATACTTAAGCTGACAAACCAAGTATAATGACCCTTGTAACTGTAACTGAGGATTTTGAAATTTGAAAACCCAGATTCCAAAACCTCTGTCTTGGATCGGAATTGGATGTTTCCTGATGTCTAATGGATAATACATCACATATCCAGTACAATTTAATTTGTAAGTTTTCGGGGGACATGAAATATGCGTTCAGAAATTCACTCAGACACAATTGGCTACAGTCAGTATTCAGAACATACCTCAAGTTATGCGTTTGAGTAGTCCTATATAGAAAATTCCAGATTACTTGTACTGTTTATGGAAAACTACTAGTTCAAATTAGCATTTGTCTGAAAGGTACTGAGACAATGATGCTTCCACACATTCAGACATGACAACAAATGAAACCCAATAAATAGTAGTTAAGGTTGATAGTATGCACTAGCCCAATATAATCTCAATGACCCCCTTCCCACTCCATTTCAATTCTAGAAAAGTTAATCACAGCAAAGAGTTGCATAACCACCTCTTGTCCCCTGTATGATTCCAGATAATGCTAATCATAGCATTACTGAGTCTATTAATCATACACAGAGATATTGGGTTTTTGGACTTTATCCATCGTCCTGGTTTTAAGATAACTAAGAAAAAACACGACGTTTTGGAAACTGGATCTGTTTCCGTCCTCAGGTGAGGGAAAACACCTACTCTGTTGGGTCCCTTCTAGTAATCATACTTATTAATCACAACAGTATTTTATTAAACATTATTAATCCTACAGATTATGCTCTTCTGGGTTGACACTGCCTTGTAGGCAGATACTGATCTTTCAGACCAACATGCTGCTTCCATCTTCAAGGTTACAGAGTGTAAGCAGGGCTGCAGGGAAGGTGGTCACTCAGACATACAGGAGCAAAGGAGATGGAACCTGCTACATGCCAGTACATAAAGTGAACACCCAACACACTTCAGCTTTAAAGATGGGAGCACTATGTATATGCCTAACAGACTACATAGTGTCACAACCTATTCAACCACTATCTGAACAGCAGCCACAGTGAAAACCCCCAAACTTACATTGTTAATCAAATTCATGTTCTAACGGCAAGATGAGAGTGAGAAGATAATTACACCACACTCCCAATGTAGACACCATTACACCATCAAAAAAAGCAACAAAGCAGGGCAGCCAAAATAACCAAAAAATATAAAGACACTATTTTACATAACAAAATTCGTTTTATTTTTAAAGTTGTTTTGGACCTAAACAATGTCAAACTCTTCCGTTCTTTTCATACGGCATAAATTCTTACAAAATTGGAAGTAAGATGGTAGCAAAGTAACCTGTAGAGAAAGCATGCCAGTGTTCGAAAACACGCAAGTGGAAATTTTAATTATGACATATAAAACTGTTCGTATTATGGCCTATACATGGTAGTAATATTGTCTTAAGCCTACCAACAGAAACACTATCAGAGAACAAAATGATTTCGATAAAGACAAGAAAGGCAAAAATATGCATCTGCATACATTAACTAACGCTTTCCAACTGAACTTGACAAATACCCGTACGGGGAGGTCCCTGGCACTAAACAATCTTATCAGTATATCATTAAAAATTAGATAATTGTTCAAATACTATGTTCTTTTGGTCCGACATCAGACAATGTCTGGGCCAAATTTATTCAACAATAATAGATCAAATTCCTATAAACTCACTCATTTCTTTATAAAGATTATCAGTTGTCTAATTCTATATTAAGGCCAACAGACAGACAAAAACAGCTATATTATGGATGTTTACATATATGGAGTTGGAAAGCGCTAAAAATGAAAAGCAAATGCTCTGTAATTATATTGGAAACGTAGAAACATATGGAACTTTAGCAGTACATCTTACAAAAATATCTCCATTAAATTAAAAGAAAGACAATATTTCAGAGAGAGAGGCTGGGACTATATCCACATATTTATTATGATACTCATTCCAAATCTTTCACTGCAACTAATATTCCATTCTCCCTACCATGCCAATTAAAAAACTGTTCATGTGGTTTACCTATGGAGAGTGTTAGAGAAGTATTATAGTATATATATATTTTTCTTTTGTGTTAATTAACTTCTAGTTTTAAAATGTTCATCAAGTTATCCTCCACTTATTTCATTATATAATATATACTGTCAGTTCATTCTGGGTCGATGGGAGGAGGAATCATCAAACTCATTTTCTCTGTTATATATATTTAAGAATTATGGGCAAATATTTCAACTTTCACCTTCATTCTGTATCTTCAGTCAGTCTCCATACACACAAAAACATATCCGAAATTGCACACAGTCCGGCTTCAGCTCATTATACAACAATGACCTTTTCCGCTGTCATCAGCATCTTCCAAACCAAATGAAGTGGCGTGAAGTATGGGCAGGTTCACCAACAGTACACGGACAGCTCTCCACCATGATCTCCACTGTGTCTCCAAGAAGTCACTTCACGCGCCTTCAACTGCAACAAAACCAATGTGAAAAAACATATTAGCAATATTATATTTAAGCATCCTGTTACATTCCACACTTCTATATGTATAATATAAACTCCATCCTAAATGTAACACTTTATTGTAGTTCTTGTCCCCCTTCTTTCACACTACATGTTTCGGCCGTAATCAGCCATCATCAGGTGTATTTCACCTCACGTAGCTGTCACACTGCACTCAATGTTAACATTTAAATTCCAGATTTCCAATTGTTCATTTTCTGTCGTCAATCGGTACCCGATATTTCAAAATTTCCCTTGTTGATTTTGTCAATAACATATTAAAGAAAAGCAGTGGCACGCACACAGAGAACCTGCACAACATAACACACGAGCTGTGCTGAAAGCAAGAGGTAGCCACTGCAGCACATATAAGCACAGAGCAGGTATTTCTGTGATTTTGGTTTTTAAATCCAAATTTAAATTTTAAATATTAAAGCTAAATGAGAATTTAAAATTTTAAAATTTCAAACCAATCGATGTGTGAGTATTCATAAAACACAATTGACAAAATCGACAAGGCGAGTTTTGAAATATCGGGTGCCGATTGATGACAGAAAATGAACAATTGGAAATCTGGAATTTAAATGTTAATATTGAGTGCAGTGCAACAGCTACAAGAAATGAAATACACCTCATGATGGCCGATTACGGCCGAAACATGTAGTGTGAAAGAAGGGGGACAAGAACTACAATAAAGTGAGTTTACATTATACATATTAGCAATCTATAATGAGAGCTGACATTTCTGTTTATATCCTTCAGTCAGGAACTGATACTTATCATTATAAAACAAAGTATCAAGAGAGAAAAGGGTCCAATAAAACTACAGTGGTATTTCCTGGTGTTTGGAGTTTTTCACTGATTTTTTTTTTCCTTGGGACTACAGCCCCAGTGGGCCTAGGCCTACCTCCATGAACTCCGTTCACTTCGGTTTTTCTAGATCTTACACATTCGGTAGGACTCCTTGGGCGAGTGATCAGCTCGTCCCAAGGCCTCTACCTGTAGACAAACACAGAAAAAAGCGGCCTCCGTAGTCTAGAGGTAACGTTCCCACCTCATGACTCGTGGTACGCGGGTTCAAACCCGGCGGAGGTCGTCGAATTTTTAAGGGCAGAAAAATTCAGGGAACAAGTCCTCCGGGAGCGACTTTAAGCCGTGGGTCCCGTGTCGTAGCTTTACGGCACGTAAAAGAACCTCATATCTCCAAAGGAGGTCACTGAGCCAAATTTAAGGGCGTTTCCCGCCCAACAAGTAGTCTCTAACACCTCTGATAGATGGGGGAAGCATTATAGATACCTCCAAGCTAGTGGAGGCCGAACTCGCTGGCTCGGTCGGGACTGATGGTACGCACCAATATCGGTAGGATATAGAGACTGGTAGAATATCATAGAGGGAAGCACAATGGACCAATACTGGTCTCAGTGCATGGCGAAACCCACCCTCTCCAATAACTAACTAATACAGAAAAACGCACACAAACATCCATGACCTGAGTGGGATTCGAACCCACGATCTTGGCTTCCGAGCGAGCGAAGACAATGCATGCCTTCCTTCACTGAATAGCTACTGAAAATTAAATCAGGTATATTTGAAAATATCCTGGAATTTGGAGACTGTACTATTGCTTACCGTAATATTAAAATACCAATAATGAGCACTGTCTTACGCCAACTGAATACAACAAGCAGCAAAAATGTAATTTTTTTCCTTAAAATCCATTTCCTTTTATTCTTTTATCTAAAATTCCATCTTGATCATTTCACAGTGATCTAAAATGTGAAAACTCTTATCTATTTATTGTCCTACTTTATTATATAATTCCGAAGTTGATTTCAGACAATAATATAACACGTCCATTGTGTCCACAGACATTCTAAATGCGTGAATCAGATACAAGGGAAAAGTTCGTCATACAAAGTAAACGATATTTGTTAAGGTTAAGTTATATAACTTTGGACAATATATTAGAATCAGAATACATTTATTTTTCAAATGAAGTGTCACTCCTGAATGCTCAGTAGAGACCAAATCACTTTTGTCACAAAGTATTAGTATGCACAAAATTGGTCAATAGACCAGACTGTGATTTGTGGTGTGCTCAGGACTGAAGTACAAGTTTTGCAAATGAGTATTCATTTCTATGTTGCATATCTCATTCTCCGTGTCATTCATCCGTTTCTAATTCTAACAGACACTGAAGATACACGTCACTTTTCCCGCTCAAGTGCAGGCTCTCTTCCTATGTGATATTTACCAGAAGTCAACTGAATTTGTTGGTAAATAATGTACTTACAACCATGGGAAGCGGCCTCCGTAGTCTAGGGATAATGTTCCCACCTCATGACTCAAGGTATGCGGATGGAATTTTTAAGGGCGGAAAAATTCAGGGAACAAGTCCTCCGGGAGGGACTTTAAGCCGTGGGTCCCGTGTCGTAGATTTACGGCACGTAAAAGATCCTCATGTCTCTAGGAGACCTCTGAGCAAAATTAGGCAACACATTTCCCGACCAAGTAGTTTCCAATGCCTCTGGTAGATGGGGAAAATATCAGGTACCGAGGGCCGACCTCGTTGGCTGAACGGGGCTGATAGCACGCACCAGTACCGGCAGGGTATGGCGACAGTAGATATTAAAGGGGGACGCACAATGGACCAATAACTGGTCTAAGTGCATGGGGAAACCCACCCCCTCTAATAATAATAATAATAAATAATAATACAATCATGGGAAACTGAAAACAAAATTAGTGATAATGGAACACAATTAACGTTTTCATACAGATCAACACTGCAATCTTCTGTTGAAAAATGTTTGCAATGCGTAGTCAGAAATAACTGTTCCTTGAGAATTTGTAGTCCTCCGACAAAAATAGGGGGAGATGAGGACTGCATATAGGATACTGGTGGGAAAGCCAGAAGGAAAGAGACCACTGGGGAGACCAAGACGTAGGTGGGTGGACAGTATTAAAATTGATCTTAGAGAGATAGACTGGGATGGTATTGATTGGACTGATCTGGCTCAGATAGAGACCAGTGGAGAGCTCTTGTGAACACGGTAATGAACCTTCGGGTTCCATAAAATGCTGGGAAATTCTTGAGTCTGCAGAATTGGCGGCTCCTCCCCAAGGGCTCAGTTCCATGAATAAATAAGTAAGTACTGACAAAAATATATTCTTTTACAAACGAACAGATTCTTACACCCAGGCAGTGACTCCTTTCCCGTATTTTTGAACCAAAAACCGGTTGAATTAGCCAGTGAATATAAACGAGGAGATAATATAAAATTCTGGATGCTGTGTAGAGAAAATTTTGTTTCTCGTGCTGGGAATCGAACTCTGGCCGTCCAGCCTGTAGTTCACTGTTATTCAGACAGATTTTAACAAAAAACCAATGATATAAAGGTATTCACATCGCAAGGAATAATATATTGTTCTCTATTAGTTCTGATACATATTTACCCACCGAAAATTACTTCAAATAAAATCATACTTCTTAATTGGATCCAAATTTTATATTACGTACGAAAACCAATTATGTTTGCTCTAAACTTCAGATTCAATAAGGCTTATATTGGACAGCAACAGCACACAAATTAAATACGTGTATGTTCTATAATTTTCTAGAGTAGGTCCCAGTAAAAGTTGTCCCTGTGCCTAACTAATTAGGTACTACGCCATGAAGGTGTATTGGGCAGTGGATGTACAGATCTACACCTTCTTGACCTAGGCACTAATTGGAGGTGAGTGGTTAGCTTCACGCCCCGGCCGCTTTACCCCCACGAAAACAGCCGCCGGTACCTACTGGCTAGGAGGTTGGATGGACCCCAGAGCCGGTCTATGTGAAGAAGAGAAAATTCTTGATCCCACCGGGACTCGAACTCCAACCCCTAGGTCGTCCAGCCCGTAGCTAGTCGCTATACCGAATACGCTATCCCGGCTCCTGTACATACCCAGTACCCAATTTTAATAGAAATCTTTTCTGTTGTTTTAGTGTTACAACACTCGGACAGATGAATGTACGTGACATCTCCTTTACGTGTTCTCTCGATGGACTCTGTGCAAAGAATGCAAATATCTGATATGATTACACAGCAGCTTCCCGGCCTTTGCAAACTCGCAGAATGGCTACATGTCAGTTTGCACTCTGCACTCTCGGCCGGCAGAAACTACGGATATACGGTTATCATTTCAATGGGTTAAAAAGCACAAAACGTTATTTTCACATCAGAATCGATTGTGACCTCAACAATGAGGATGTACTTAGTCTAAACCAGGCATGTCAAACTCAACTTGTACAGAGGGCCACCTCAGCCCTATAAATAATAGTCCAGGGCCGCACTTCAAAATAGAAATATACATTGGATTCTGATACAAGGAAATTTAATTCTATTTATTATTTAGGAATAATTTCAATATAATTACCTAAAGTCACATATCTTACAGTTTTAAAAAGCAAGAGAATGCCATTTTTGACAAGTATCAGACAACTTTTCAATATGTAAAAAGAGAGATTACACAAGAAATTATGTTAGAAATAGTAAAACATTGAATTTCCTGCAGCCTGATAATTTATGTCTGCGTGAGACTTCTTGTCTTCTGGTCTGTTCGAAAATTGTCTTTACAAAAAATATTTCTACTAAAATTTTAATATCGATTTTAATATCAATTAGCTGCTCTACATAAAGCCTGGCTTGGTCACCTTCCCTTCTAACGTACCACTCAACCACTGAACCTAACCCGCGTCTCTAAATAGCGAGCACTATGAACTTTCCGTCACCTCCTCTACTGTTTGCATGGTCAGTAAACTCTTCCTTAGCGCTCCTCTTCCTAATCACATAGTCGCTAAACCCCTTTTAATCGCCTCTTTTCCTTCGCACATGGTTGCTAAAAATTCGCCACCTCCTTCCAAACATGCGATCGCTGAAACATTTGTCATCATCTAATTTCAGATGCGTCCTTTCACCAAAACG